TGGCTCTGCAATCTCCCTCCTTGTGCATCGCCTGCAGCTCCCGACACAGACCTGACACTTCCGCTTCTGACAGACAGAAGCAGCGGCCAATCAGGCAGGTGGGCTGGATAAATGACCCTGGCGGGCCGTATCCGGCCCACGGGCCATACTTTGAGAACATCTGGTATAGGGGATATAATAGGGTACATACTTGCCAAATAAGGATGGTGTTTCATGCGTATGAGGTGCAGTAAATCATGAAAGCTTGTAATAAATAGATGTTATTTTTAAGGTGCTCACAAGTGTCTTTTTGTTATTTATAGATTGCCCCTTTATCTAGAACTTGTTTCTGAAATCAATTTTGTTTTAAGATCTTTTCATGGTCTATTTTCTTTTCCTTCCCCCCCATTCCATCATCATCATCATCATCATCATCATCATCATCATCATCATCATCATCATCATTTTGCATCAGAGTTATGCAGAATTTTTTTTCAATATTTTACATGATGAGAATTACTATGACTTCTGTTCAAGTACCAGGGGTATTTATTGCTTTGTAAGTTAATGAACAACAAACTAATATATAAATATTTTATCTATACACAGAATTACTTTAAATATTTGGCAGCCTAAGTTGTCCTAATGGTCTCAAGGTTAAAGTATTCTTCTGTGTGTCAACATCAGGCTCAGTGTCATAGATACAGAAAAGCTTCATTCCTGATTAAAATACCTGGATGCAGGCACATCTGCCTTATAATTGAAAATATTTAAAAGGGGGAAGTGTTAAACAATGGGGAGGAGATTACTGGACATTTCTGGAGTTGTATTTGTATGGTGGGGACTGGAGATACTGTGTGTATCAAGGAAGAGGTGAAAGAGGAATCTGTTATGACCTAACAGGAACAAGGAGGACTAAGGGAGGGATCTACAAAGGCGGACAGGTAGAAAGGACTGCAGCTTTTGGAGAACACTAGAGACAAAAACCTAACAAATGTGCCAGAATCCAAAAAGCCCAAGAAACAATTGCTTCCCCCCTTCTGGTCCCAGCCCTTCCCAGATATGAGTGACCCCAGAAGTAAAAGTACTGAGAGAAGCTGCTTGAGTAAGAGCGGCGGGCAGGGGAGTGAAACAGATAAGAGACTCTAAACAGCTCCACTTGAAATTGTGTAGAACTGTGCTGTATAATTTGTTAAGCCAAGGCTACTTATCTATTCAAAATACACACAAGTTATTTACTTAAAAACACTACAAAAATAATCACCATTATTTAGAGAACAATGCTGTGTGTGTGTGTGCCTGGAAAGTGGATCTGAGTAGGAATTGATATATGGGCATAAAACGGAGATAAGATTACTTAAATAAGTTCTGTCATATTTAAATCTAGGATTAAAAAAGAGAAGAATGCATGGAAAAGGAGATAGTAATATACTTGGAGTATGCAAATACTCCTTTTCAAGCCCTTTCTTCCTTGAAACAGATTAGTTGGCCTATGTAGGATTCTTCATCCATCATTACTCAAACAGACTTCTGCTTATATAATTGAACTTCCCATTACTCTCTTCCTCTCCATTCCAAGAACAGTACAAATCTATTCCTGAGAGTCCTCTAATTTGCTAGACCAGATTAGGAATGCAAAGAATATTGTGGGAATTAAAATGCTCTTTCGTAGGTGAAACAGTGAACACTTCCATTCTTTAAAAACTGTACTTAATATTCTATTTTTATACACTGAACTTAGTGAGTAACTACTGAAGGGTGTACAACAGACCCAAAGTCAGAACTTCATAACTGCGACACAAATTGAAAGAATAAATGAGGATCTTATTTGAGAGCCTTTCCCATCATAGTTTAGCATAACAAGTATAGTAGAAAAAATTAATGTACACTTTTTATATGTTAACATCTCTTTGTTACCACTATCCTCATAAATAGTATTATGATTCTTTTTTATTATTTAATTTACAACTCACATTTCAAGTTGCCAAAATTCCTAAATGACTTACAGATCAGCAACTGAAATAAAGTAAATAGTTTAAAAATAATCTTGAAATAATATCACACAATCAGTTTCTCTGGGTAGAAGTGTACTGCTCAATTTTTTTAAAAAAAAGATTTGTGCTGTAAACACATTTCAACTGAAATGGAACACTAATTTTATTATATAACTGTAAGATTATGTGTTATATACGTATTTAACTAAAAATATTAATAGAAACCTTAATTGTAATTAATGAAAAGTTACAGTTATTTAATTATTTCTTTATGGTTTCAGGAATTACCTATGAAGGAGATTTTTACCCCTCCCTCCAAAATAAGTTCCCAGGAGAGATTACAAGCATTCACAAGCACATCAAAGTGTACAATATAATGCAACAAAAGCAGCAACCCTGGTAAAAGCATAAACAGCAGCAAAAACAAACAGACAAGACAAAAAAGTCTCATAAAAATTAAGTAGTAGTTAAAATGTCATAAGAAGTTCTACTGGATTAGGTCAAAGATATTAGGTCACATCTTTATTGCCTTTGATTCAAGAGGAAGAACACAGCCATAATGATCAGTGCTGTATTACAGCCCTGTTTAAAACTGATATTACATCAAGATAACCTACTTTCAAAGTTTATTAATATGGGGGGGGGGGCTTTCCCATCCACTGTAATTAAACTGTCATTTTCTAAAGTGAAATTAATATATTGTAGCTGATTTTTTCAGCTTCAGAAATGCAAGCCTTGCATTATTTTCATTTCCCATTTCTTTTTGAAAGAATGCTTGCTGAATTTGCAGCTAATACCACAGGATCATTTTCTCTACTGATACTTTCTCCTCTTATATCAATAATGTATTATCTCCATATTTTAAATACTAAAGACATTATCACATATAGAACTTGATTCTATCAAGCATTAAGGGGTGCTTCTGGCCTTCAATATTTTTTAGCTTGGTGTCCAGATGTGAAAACCTTATTTTCTACTTCCCAGAAGAGGGGATGCTGCTACAAGAGCAACATGTATTAGGCATCCAGGGAAAGATTTCTTTGATTCCTTATCAGTGCTATGTAAAGAGTGGAACTAGAACCCAATTATATTTTTGATAGCATCACTTGCCACAAGATATTTTTAGGTCTGGCTTAGCAGTAATAGGTCTCTTTTTTCACTTTATGGAAAAGGATGTTCAATTACTTCACAGTCTGGAGACATACAGTATAAAACCTAGGGAAGCTGACCCACTCCTACTACTTTATTTGCATTGTGAAATAGTCTATAATTTTTTCACTGTTCTCATGTTTTGCTTGTGTTTCATAAATGCATCTCACTGGGCCCTGTGGGAAATAGGATAGACAAGATAGATGCTGATCTGAACAAACAGGATTCCTGTCAGAGCAAGAACTACTAGAAAAAGATGCTAACACAGTTCAAGATTTTAAAGGATACTATTGGACAATACATTACATTACAGCCATGGTTTGCAGATGAAAATTCAGCACATAATTTCTCTTCAACTAACTTTCAGATCATGTACAAAGACGTTATAGATACTTTCTAGATAGGCTGAAAAATTGTGGAAGGAACCATGCTGCTTTCATGAGCCATATATCCTATCTACCTAGCATCTAAAATAAATTCTTTACTTGAACATTTAGGACAGGTTCAAAATATTTTACATACAGTATCTTGTCATTTTTTACAACTTGGTAAAATAGATCAACTGTATATCCCTTCAGGATATGCAAAAGACTTCATTTTAATATGTTACAAGTGCAAAATTCTGCATGTCTCATTTGGAATTTGGAACCCCTCTTCTTAGTGCAAAAGGCCATTCAAATAGTGTTTTGAGCACGGAACAGATCAGTTTGAAATGCTTCCATGATATTTCAAATGACCCATTTCATGCTAAAAGCATTGCTAGATGAAACATTTTCAGTGGGGCTAAAACGGATACAGACTGGCTTGTTAGCAACAAAATAACAACAGAACTGACTCCTGGTACTAATCTCTCCATTTCGTATTTCAAGTAGCCTTCTGCTACACCAGTTTCCTACTCACAGTATACACACCATTTGTGATCTGCTTCTTGTACCAGTACTATCACAATAATTATATTATTTCTGTCCATGTTGTGTAGAGATGTATCACATAATTTTGCTGATGTAACCTGAAATCATGCAAATAGAACAGAGCTCCTGGATATTTAATCTCATTGAATGTGTAAGTAATTTGGAAATTGTTTTTTCAAGCTAACATAGATTTAAAAAGTATAAGTAATTATCTATGATATAGTTTCATTATTTCTTTACTTAAAATATTTATCTGGTACTTCCTATAAAACATTTAAGCGATTTAACAATAAAAAATAACAGCAATATAGTGAGACAATATCAAAGATATAAAATATAGAAGAAAAACAATAAAAACATTTTTTAAAATCAAAGATTTTAAAAGAAATTTGTTTTTGCCATTCACACTGGAGGGGCGTAGGTGAAAAAGATAGTAACCATACCTTGAAAAAAACAGGTCTCACGCAGATATCTAAATTATGCAATAGTAACCATACCTTGAAAATTGTTTTTAAAAAATCAAATATATGAGACAAACTCTGAGATAACATTTAAGAAAAATGAAATGTATGGGAAGGGAGAGAGGGAAAAATAACCAAAATGGGGGAGGGGAAAAACTTACCTAATATGTAAATAGTCTTTTGATCACTTTTTTGACCAAGTGAATTGGCCACTTTACAAATGTAAGTTCCAGTATAATTGTAAGACAAAGGACTATTGAAATGTAAAGTATTGTTGGAAGGCTGTAATCCCTCAGGCCAATGCCCATCCAGCCTGCAAAATATTTAGAGTAGTATGAGCATTTTGCAAATAATATTTCATACTGATTGTTCTCATTTTCCAGAACAGAAATATATTTACTTGCATGAAACCAATGGCTGTAACCATATTTTATGCTACTAATAAAAGAATTCAACAGAATCACTGATTTATCATGAAACTAATACAGTATATGTAAGTGCTACTTAGAAAAGTGTCTATTCATTCCCAGAGGAGTTATCTAGAGTATATAATGAGTAAATAGCAACAAGGGGATACCAAAAATTATACAAGAATGTAATGTATAAAACCTTATTAATGGAAATCAAGCTACATATTTAAGAAGCATCTTTATAGCTAGTTATTTATAGCATTCATGTTCTGAAATCTGTTCCCTAGCACATGCAGGGGTGTATGTATGTTACATTAGCTAAATGATAAGAGAAACATATACCAGATACTGAAGGAAAAGAATACATGCTAGCAAGTCTTTACTAGAAATTCCATATAATTTGTTATATTTCCTGGCCAGTGCATATGTATAAAACAAAAGTTACAAAGCTCCTTTTCTTAGATAGGGTTAATCCAGGTTTGGGAGGGCCTATAGAGCTGCTTTAGCTAACTGGTAGGAGGCTAAGAACCACCATTTGAACATTCTAAAGTGACATTGTTGGTAACTTAAAATGGCAACCAGAAGACACAAAGCAGCACTGGTGGATGTTGCCAGAAAATTGAAGTCTTAGAAGTTGCTGAGGTCCACAGATGCAAACTACTAAATTTGGCACTGAAATTTTAGATCTGTACATGGTTCATGTATGTTAACCAGACTCTCTCAAGATACTGTTTTGGAATCCTAATTAGTAATCAATCATGAACACTTTTCTACAAAGTACAGTCAGGTCCAGAAATATTGGGACATCGACACAATTCTAACATCTTTGGCTC